GCCTTCGTGGTGTAGTGGTCAGCACATTCGACGCGTATTCGAGAGGTCCGTGATTCGAGTCCCGGCGAGGGCATTCCTCTTTTTTCAGCTTTTCTGCTTCGAAATAGCCTAATCTCTCTACAGAATTTAATGCTAGTATAGTACAAATTTATCAGTAGTAAAAAATTCAAGTATTGTCCTTAGGAAATGAAAAATTGTTTAATTAAAAGTAAATTTGTGAAAAAATAGAAAACGAATGTTAAGAAAACATGAAACAATGTTTGTTATTAAACAGAAATTAACTGACCTTTCAAGAGGAAATAAACAATTTGCGATCAATTAACTATAATTAATAGAAGTAAATGTGTTTCGTCGTCTTAATATGCAATAAACAATTGTAAAATTTCAAGCCAGGAAGCTATTGATCCAAAATTGTTTCGTATCAATCTTAATATGAAAAATAAGTAACTATTTAGAAGTTTGCCAAATTGATTCCAAGTACAAGTCAAGAACTAAACTAAACTAAATATTCAAATAAAGATTTAGATTTTTTGATAGAAATTTATTCTCCGACACATTCGCGGCTGATCATAGTAAACCAAAACAAAAATAAAATAATATAAACATAAAAGAAACTTAAACAGTATAAAATTTAATACATTCTTATTAGACTAAAAAATTAATGTATTATTTTTCGAGTAAAATAGTAAAAAAGTAGAAGAGTTTTGTAAAGATCATAATTGGATTTAAAGATCCAGGAATGAGTTAAAGTTAACTTACATGTTTATTAAGTTTGAATTGGAAACAAAATGGATGCACTGTTCGAAGTCCGCTGTATAGGAATTCGAAAAGGGTTGTAGTAGTTAGAAGGAGAGAAGGAGAAGGTGACATGCTGGTTGCTATTTTAGGAAGGCGAGAAAATTAGTTTGCATCCGGGCTCTCTTAAATTTGGCAAGAGACTTTTTCTGCTTTAGTTAAAATTGGCTTTAAAACGTTTCCAAACAAAAGAAATTAATTTATATCTGGCTAACGGTCTCAAATGTAGAAATATGTTTTTAGAAATATTTTTTACTACTAATGAATTTTTACTGCACTAGCATTAAAACTCACTTTATTAATTTTCTTAGGAAATAATCCAAAAACGGTTCTTGTAAATAAATTCTTATTTTATTGCTTAGCAGCTTTAGCGCAAGTATTAGGTTTTTTAAATGCAAAATTACCTAATTAGTTCTTTGAGTTATATATGTAATATTTTGAATACCTTTAGTTTATTTCTATAAAACTGTAGAGACATTAGGTATATTTTTGGAAGGCGGAGAGATGAAAAATGAGCAAATGCCTTCGCCGGGAATCGAACCATGGACTCTGGAATACCGGTCCAGCGTGCAGAACCACTGTACCACGAAGGCACGCTAAGAAGGTGGGAGAAATACCTTATAAAACGACCGAATGATTCGGTTCTGGATTTTATTTCTTTTTCTCAGAGTATAATTAATAATTAAAAAAAATTGGCGACGCACTTCAGCATACAGAAGTGCCGGCCGCCACTGTGCCATTCGAAAACCATAAAGAAACTGGCCAGCGTGGATGCTTAATTCTACAAGAAATCGATCTACGGATTTATACCAATTCATAATTACATAACAAGCTTATCAATGAAATGCTTTCCATCCACTGATTCAGAAATGAATGCAGAGCAAGCTACGCCCTGCTCGGCAGGATTTTTCAATGCTCTTTCGCCCCCTAGGAATACCAACGTTCAAGTTCACTTTAAGTAAATGGTGCCATATCATATAATTACGTCCCATCGACCCGTCAAAACTGTGCAAGGCTTACCGACCTAATCTATCGGCGAATGTAATAGACGCCGACATCATCATGAGGTATGCCGCATATGGCGGCATACCCTATGATGCTATGTTTGTCAACAGGGCATAGCAGGAATACTGTCGTATAGCAGGTATTAATTTGGAATCGTATGTAACTTGGAAACACACTATTTTTCACATGGTTTGCTCTTAACATACGTAGCTCGATCAAGAGTCAGCACACCGAATAGTTTGTTTACGCTCCGGACGGACAAACGAAAAACAGTGTGAGTCCTCAAGCTTTAGGAATAAAAGTTTAAGATAATAAATAAATGTTTAAGATGTTTCTTTTTTATGAAAATAAACTCTTCAGTTAATAAAATTTTTAAGCAAAACAGAAAGAAAAGTCACTGCGTATCTCAGATTTGAAAAAACTATCCCCATCCCAGTAAACAAAGCTTCTTCAAAGCCTGGGCAACATAGGGTACTTCCACTAGTTGAGGTATTAAAAAAAGTTATCTAAAATAAACATAAATGCAGAAAACACACCATAAGCTTATAAAAACATAATACACATAAAATTTTAATGAGCCACCCAGACGGTATAGTGGTTAGGGAAGTAAACCGCTGAGTTGGCTTCCGACCCAGGTATAGATATATCCATGCAGAATTGGTTACCAACTCGGCGGGAGTCAACTACTAGTAGCCAGGCAGCAGCCCTGGGCATCCACGGCAGACGACATTTATAAAATACAAAAAAGAAATATGCATGCGCATACAAGGAATTAGAAGAAGAATACAGCAATGTACAAAGAAATATACATGTGCATACAAGGCACTTGAAGAAGAATACAACAATGTACAAAGAAATATACATGTGCATACAAGGCACTTGAAGAAGAGTACAATGAAAATATATGTATACACATATAGATACCAACTCAGATACAGATATATACACACTTAAGTGGTTAGGGGAGGTAAACCGCTGAGTTGGCTTCCGACCCAGGTATAGATATATCCATGCAGAATTGGTTACCAACTCGGCAGGACTCAACCACTAGCTACCAGGCCGCAGCCCTGGGCAGGCCCGGCTGAGCAGACGACATTTATAAAAGGCAAAAAAGAGATACATATGCATACAAGGCACTTGAAGAAGAGTACGACAATGTACAAAGAAATATATACATGTGCATACAAGGCACTTGAAGAAGAGTACAACAATGTACAAAGAAAGATATACATGTGCATACAAGGCACTTGAAGAAGAGTACAACAATGTACAAAGAAAGATATACATGTGCATACAAGGCACTTGAAGATGAGTACAACAATGTACAAAGAAATATATACATGTGCATACAAGGCACTTGAAGAAGAGTACAATCAAAATATATGTATATACATATAAATACAAACTCATATACGGATATATAGTACACACTTACGTACATAGATATTCCGAAACAAATAAAAGTATACATACTCTCACTCATATTGAACACACTTAAGTGGTTAGGGGAGCCTGACTGCAATACCGAAGGGCCCGGGTTCGGCCGAAGAAGGCATGGATGTAAAATTGTCCGTCCCTTCATGGGAGGTAACGGTGGCCGCCTATTAGGTGCCTCCAGAATAAAACGGTCACCACTTCTGGCCTTAGTAGTGGCTAATGCCGTTATAGGTTATAGGCCATTTGTTTAAAAAAAAAAAAAAAAAAAATGTTGAGCAAAATATGTTTGGCAGGCCCTCAAAAAACTTGTTTGAAATATATATATGTGTTAATAAGGAGATATTTAAATAAATTCAGGTATTTGTTAGGTAAAATAGTTCTCTTACCGTGAAAGATCGAAATTGGAGAATGTCGACTTTCAGCGGAGAATGTCAACATTCACCAAGTACGTCGGTGAAAGATCGAATATTGCATTACATTCTTGTACATTCGGACTCTCACCGGTGTATGTCGACAATCACAGTTATGCTCTGGTGTAGGTCGAAAAGAGAGGAATCGACGATTCAAAGTGTCATAATAGTTTAAGTTGTTGCAATAAATAAGATTTGAATCAGTGACTTTTTTAATACTATTATTTTATTTTCTCATTTAGAACGTACTGTATAATTAAGTAAGTTTTTAACTTTTATTATATCCCTTTCATTTTGAATGTACTGTGTCTTTTAAGTTCCTATGTTCTTATTTTAAGTCTGAAGTGCGTTTTCTCGCGACTGAATTACGGAGACGAAAATATAATATTCTTATATGTTCAACATTCACCATTAATACATGGTGAATGTCGACAATGACCGGTGTAAGTCAGAAAAAAGAGTATTTGGAAAATATTTCGGACATATACCAAGCGACTAGGTGAATGTCTACATTCTCCAGATTTCGGTGTTTCACCGTAACAGTTCCAAAATGAGTTTAATTATGTATTTTGCGTTTTACTGGCATGCAAATCAAGTAGATTCAAGTATTCTAGTGGCCAAGCGGTTACACCGCTGGGCACAGGAAATTCGACATTGAACAGGCTGGCTGCATCCGATTTTTGTTTTATTAAGTTTTACGCATTTATGTAACATGCTTTTTCTTGAAATATTGTACCCTTTTAGGCAGATAGCCTAAAGAAAGAATTTAGTCTCATGCTTTGTCGTAATCTAATTGAAATAACTCCTTTTGTATATTTTACAATTCAACTGGTTTCATATTTATGTGAAATGTAAGAACTACAGCCGTTATTTATCAAGTACTAGCAGTCGTTAATCGATGTGTTAGAGATATAAAAATAAGCCGGAGAAACCTCTTATTTAATATTATGCATTTAATAATAAATTAATATCATCTTTCGAAATTTCTGTTACGGTGTTTGACGCATGGATAAGTTCTGCTCAACGCAAAGTGGTACATAATTACGCATATGTATATTTGATGACTTAATTCTAGACTATGGAGCGGAAAATTGCGTCAGACGTGAGTACGGAGCATTCCATTAAATCAAAGCTGAGAGTCAAATGGTCTAGAAATCATGGTATCCGCCTTCTACAGGCATAATTTTTGGAAATTAGTGAAATAGCAACAAAACGCCATTTGCAAATCGTTAAGCCGAGACTAAGTGCTTCCAGTTTCGTGTTACGAATGCAGAACGAATTTAATAGCTCTTTAAAAAGAGGGACTTCTGAAAACTCTCGAGATTTCAGAAGCTTGGAAGGCAATTCGCGAAAAGTACACTCCGTGCGCTTGGCAGTTTCGGTTTATGATAACATTACTATTCTTCATAAGTGCGCATAGATTTTTTTTGAATTACGATAATGTAAATATTGCAATACAAACTATAATATCAAAATATAAATCTTAATTATTATCTACTCAGAGACGACAAAATTCTAGAAAAGGTAATATTCTCCATAAACAACGCATTCTCCGTAAAAAATAGAAATTATGAATTTATATTTAATTTTTTAGAATTCGATTCGTTTCTACTTCCCAAAATGTTTCCTGTCTTGTTTGTGTATTACATATTAATCGTTCGCTTTTTGAAAGCGACGACGCCCATGACAACGCTTCCACCAACAACGCCTCCTCCCTTGAATTCCTTATTCGTGAAATACGGAGCTTCACAACATCGACAAGATAAGAAACTGGATGTAAAGCCTTTAGCTGTAATTCAAGGTAAACTTTAAAAGAAGTTAAAATTTTACTTCTCTGTATTCTAATTCTATTATGTAGCTATTTAACTTGTGCTTTTGAAACGAAAATTTTGTATTTAGATTATTAATCATGAGTAAAATTTGGCAACCGCTTTCAACCATGCACACATCAGCCAAGAGATGGAGCTTTTAAACATAAATTATCGTGACGTTAAAATTCGAGATATGCTTACTGCGAATCGACATGAGAACATAATTTATAAAAAAAAAAAAGACGTAGTTTCCTGGATTTCAGAGTCGCAACTAGGCCGAAATTATGTTTTCTACCTCCTATTCCAAAACGTTGTTATTATTATTGGTATTTATTACCATTTCATTTCGAAAACAGAACGTATAATTATTTATGTAATTCGTTTCCTGTAAGTTTCGAATTTTAAAAGGATTTAATTTTCTTTCACCAGTTAAAGTAGGGTTTCTTAAACATTTTCAGTCGCGACCCCTTTTTATCACTGAGATTTTTTCGCGACCCCCAGGACCCCATAATATTTCAAAAAAATTTGTGGGACCCCGTAAGTACTGCGCAAATCCGACATACGCGTGAGTGAAACTGTCAATGTTTTCACTTGTACTGTAATATACTATTGCAGTTTTAGGTCATTAACTTTAATTTCTAATTTTAAGTCATGGAAAATGGTGGTGTATGGTGTGGTGTATTAAATTATGGCAAAGCACACTAGGGCTATCTGCCTAAGGGGAGGGATGCCTTTCGTGGAGGACTTTCTAAGGGAAACTGGCTCGTATACACGTTACACATGGGGAAAACCACGAAAACGCCCATGCAGCCAGCCCGTTCGCGGGATTCGAACCTCGGACCGAACTACCAGTGCATGGAAAATGGGGAAATTTAAAATAAGTAACAGACGAAATGACAGCGTCATGTGCAAAGCAAGGAGAATGAGCGTTTATATTATTAAAAAAAAAAAATGCATCAAAACGTTTTCTTTTTTTTTTTTTTTTTTTTTTTTTCCCGCGATCCACAGTTTAAGAAACAGTAAACTGAGTAAAATTGTAATGAAATACATATCAATTAAAGCGCATGCTAATTTCAATAAAAAAATAATAATTTTTTAGCAGTTTTACATTCAATTCAAAATTATAACATGCTCATTAACTTTTGTATACACGGGGAATAGACACTAAAAAAAAATTCTTAATTTATATTTTGTAGCGTGGTTTAAGTTTGTTCTTGTTTTTTCATACTATAATATTATATAGTTAATTTTTATTTAAAAACTATATTAATTAAATTATCGTTACGTTAAAAGTATATTGATTAAATATTATATTAAAAGTATATAATCTGATTTTTTTACAGTTCTTTGATAATTTTATGCAAAATCTGTCCTATGTCTTCTCAGTTGTTTCACAAAACTTAAAAATCATATAATAATTTTTACTTTTTTCCCCGTGAATTCTTTCCTCTTTGAAAAATTTTCAGCATTTTTTGTTAATTAAATTATTTTGAAAATTTTTCAGCATTTTTTTGTTAATTAAATTATTTTAATTAATAACGTAAACAATTAAAAAATTCTGCTATATTCTCTAAATTATTTTATTAGAAGAAGAACTTCCATGAAACTGAATCATGTAAGTTTTTCTGCAATTATTTTATCTACAATGCGTTCATATTAGAAAATTAAGTGCGATTCAATGATTAGAACATTGTGCCCCAATATCGTAAATATGTGGAATGCGAAACTGCTAATGGCTCCGAATTCGTTTTTTTTAATTGGTGCACATCCTTGATTAGCAAATATAATTTAATAAACTGTTCGCACCAACAAGCTTGAACATTCTATTAGATGCGCCAAGCTAATCATCTAAATTTCTAGCTTTCGAAATTTACCTAAAGTGTTAGATTTACTATCATTAATATTTTCTAGACATAAACATAATGACACTTACTAACAAGGCGGAAAAAATGCTTTTTATAATATCTATTTAAATTTATTTGTGCGTAAATTATATTTAATTTCAGTCAAAAATCTTACATTATTTTTTAAAGCTAAATTCAAAAGAATAAGTTTTCATGTTGTTTAAACGAAAGGAATGTGAATATTCCCTTATGTGCTGTGAGGAAATAATCTGGTAGCAGAAACATCTAACTTTTTAAATAAAGCTAAGGAAGAGGCTTATAAAAATTATCAATTAGATCTACAGTAGACTTCATAATCGAAATTAAGAGCAATTATAACGATCTGGACATTCGAAATGCCCTGATAAATGGTTTGTTTAGTTTTGTTGGCAATGGAGTACCTGCTGAAATCCATTTGAGAAAATTTATGTTATTATTATTATTTTACTAAAAACTAGCGGAAGTACCCCATGCCAAATACGTTAGATTGAGAGTAATGTATCTAACAACAGAGAACAATAACGCTGCAATCCTTCTGCAATAACGATGCAAAAAATACGATTCATTAGTCAAATTTTTCAGTCTGTCGCGATGTGAAACCCACATAAAATATTTCGATATAAAAATAAACTAATTCTTTCTCATTATATCAGCAACAATGGCATGAAGTTTTTAATGGTTTTCGTCTTTCTAATCAAAGGTCGTAAAAACTCAAGTTCCATCCAATATTTCACCTATATTCAATTTTAGTGGATTAAATGTGGCAAAAAGTTTATCATAATTCATCAGAAAGCAATAACGCGAACAAATAAACAAACACACAAACAGATAGTCTCCCCTAATATATATATATATATATATATATATATATATATATGTATACATATATATATATATAATTTATTTCCTAAACAGTATTGATTAATTGATTATATTATCTCCTAAGTTTAATTAAAATAGAATTATTTTAAAAGTGTGCATCCATACTGGTAAGTTATATTTTGAAAGATGTTTTGAAGTAATTTGAAAGCAAAATGTTAATAATGTTTTAACGGGGACTGGAGTTAAATCATCAAGAAGAATAATATTACAATTGTAAAAGGAAAAATTAAAACATGTAATTATTGTCATTGATCGGAAATTAGTTGACTTTTCAAGGGGAACAAACCAACTCCCGTTCAATGAACAATAATTGATAAAAATACGTAAATATGAAAGTGTTTCGTCTTTACTCGAGTTATAAGTTAAAGCCAAACCGGCAATTCTAGTCAGGCCAAATATTTCCGCGAATAGTTGCTACTCAAAGAACTTATTCTCATGAAGCATTTTAGTCAATTCAATTTGGAGTAAAAATCAATTACTGTAGAGAAATCCTGTAAAACTCGAGTAACCGTCCCCGACACTATCATCTTTATGTATTTGAGTACTATATTATTTGTAGAAATTAAACATTGGAAATTGTCATTATGAAATCGAAATCAAAGTAAAGTTGAAATAAACATAGAAGATTATAAAAAAGATAAATAATGCAAACTTTGTAAAAAACAAATCAAAGAAAACATAAAAATAATATAAAAAATAATATAGAAAATAATATAAATAAGATCAGTGAATGTACATGAAGATATAAAGGCCAGAAAGGTATTAAGTAACTTACATTCTTTCTAGTGGGGGAGTTGGCAATGTGTTCTCTTCGTGTCTGACTCAGAAGTGTAGGGTGTCCGAAAATTCTTAGCGGCAGTAGGGGCTTTGAATAATATCAGTCGGTAAGACTTGGGTGAAGTAATTTATGGTAGTGGGTGGGACTTGGAATTCTTGAGGGATGTATTTGTGGAGTTCTTATCTGAGAGAGACCGTCTGTTAAGATTTTTTCGAAAATACTAGTGAATGGAAATTAATTAATTTCTGGCTAATTGTCGTGTCGCAATGATTAAGAATTTAAGAAAGGAAAAAGGCATTTTCGCTGTCCAAGAGCTAGTAGACAGTCTAAAGGCAGGAAATAGGCCCATTTTTTTATAACAGTATAGTAACAGTATATGTCTGAAGACAATTAGCTTTTTACAATATATACAATTGAGTAATACACTATGTACAAATCTTTCAACTGACAGTCATCCAACTTATACCGCCTTCTCAGGTTTAGGAATAAATTATCATATCCCTATCAGTTAAATGATTTAGAGTGAGTATTTAACGCCTGCTCTTTTAAGGCAATGGTTGATAAATTGAAAGGGAATTAGATTATTTTTGAGAATTTTGATAAGGATCAAAATTTCGCGTTGTAAATCTATTGTATCTGTGCATATAGTTTTAATTCGATATATATGTATACATACATATATATATATATATATATATATATATATATATACGTATATATTGTAAAACTTACAAATTTTTGATTAAAAAACTCTAAGATTTGAAAACGAGCAGTAGCAACACGTTTCGAAATAAAGTATTTTGATCTCCAACGCGCGAGTCTGTTGCAACTCGGAAAAATGAGTGCGAAAATCAATTAAATTTTCGGAGTTTTAAATTAATATCTCGGCTAATTAAAGTCGTAGGCAGTCGAAATGGCTTCCCACGAATTTTTGGAATCAGGAATAATGTGTTTAATGTTTGTCAATACTATTTTAATTTCATCGTAAAACTTAGAGATTTTTTATTAATAAACTAGAAATTAATAAATTAGAATTTTTTATTAATAAAACGATTAGAAAGCGAGCAGTGGCAACAACTTTCGAAATAAAGCAGATTTTCATCTCCAGCTTTCGAGACTGTTGCCACTCGGAAAAATGAGGGTGAAAATTATCGTTTTTCCGACTTTTTAAAGAATCGTAGAAAGTTTGGTGATGATAGCTGTAGTAGTAACTGAGTTATTATAGGACAAAAAACATACTTTCTTCTTTTTACATATATAGAGAGATTATGTTTCCCAGGACGCGTGTCAGGTCGCGTGGATGATAAATAGCATGGTAACTTACTGTAATTGTTCAAAAAATTTCAAATATAACTTGAGCCCGGCGAAAACAGAATCCGGGTAATTAAAATCCAGTTTGTTAGAAAGGATGAAATGGACACGTTATTTACAACAAAATAAAAACAACAATTGAAGAATACAAATATTGTTCTAAAACCCTGTCAGTTTGTTGCTCTGTTACTGTCATAATCTGAGAGACAAAATTTGTTTGCCAAATAAGCATAGCAAATTGACAGTCCACATGTTTGATTAATTCCGTAGTAGCTTAATAATATCACGTGATGCAGAAAAACAGAAAGTCTAGATTTTGAATGTTTTTTAAAGTCAAAATCTATTCTTATTAATCAAATGTTCCTTTTAACACTATTTATAAATGTCGTAGGGTGATATTTTAAACCTTCTTAAATTGTGGTCTATCAAACTATAGACATTTTTCTTATTGCTATTGTCACAATTATTCAATAATTTAATTATTTGAAACAGTTATTTTTTTGCTAATCCTTATATATAAAAATATTGCTTGTATATAATAAATATTGCTTATATATAAAAATGTTGCTTAACATTACTTATATATAAAAATATAGTTCGAATAAGCAATTAAATACAACTTCAATCTTTCAGAACAATAATTTTTATTTTAACAATAACAACGGTAAAGAAAAAACTGGTAACCACGCAGTCTCGCAGACGATTCTCACAGATGATGTGCTAGCGTCGCAGAACAAATACAAAAATTTTAAACAACTTATACTGAAACAGAATATTGCAATGATTTATTAATTTTCTTTCTTCTCAAAATCCATAGACATAATTAACATATCCCAATTTAACTCGAATTCCCATAGTTAATTAAGTAAACCGAAAGAAAATGAGATCTTGGATTCGAATCTTCTTACTAACTTTCATTAAGGAAATTCAAGTAAATTCGGTACGCAGCTGAAAAATGCTTCACTTTTCCCATAGCTAAGTTCTTGATGATTATTATGTGAAAGAACAGGATCGTTGATCTTTAACGAACTTAACTCAATTTTCTGAAAGTTGACGAAATTCCTTTAAGAATTAGCAGTTGGAGATAGCAAGAGTACATATGGTTATTAAAAGAGAAAATCATATAGTTTATTGTGAATCTGTGGTCTCAAACTGGCAGTCCGCGAAAACACTTACAGTATACGAGGTGTGACACAAAAGAAGAGAGACTAAGTATATACGAGTAGTTTGAAAAAAGAGCGGAGTTGGCAACAACTGGTTTTGTGACGTCATGCCACACACCTCCTCTATAAATACGGCTAGTTTCGAGTACTGCGTCATTGAGTGAGCACGTGAAGGTGCATTCTGCCGGAAAAATGTCTAATTTAAAAAACCGAGCAGCGAATCAACATCAAGTTTCTTGCAAAACTTTAAAAAAATCAGCCACGGAGGAAACATTTCAAATGTTAATCGAGGCATATGGAGATGAAATTTTGAATCATGCACGTGTATTTGAATGGTATAAGCGGTTTTCAGGGGAAAGGGACAGTGTGGAAGATGATGAACATGCTGGGTTCCCAAGGGCACACCCAGCACGTTCTTCATGCCTGAATGGGTTCCCAAGGGTCAGACTGTTAATCAATACCACTACATTGAAGTACTAAAAAGACTTCGTGAAAAATTAGGCAAAACAAGGCCACAGTGGAGCAACGGACGGCGTTTGCACCAGAATAATGCACCCGCTCACACGGCTTTATTTGCCAAGCAGTTTCTGACCAGTAAAAACATTACTGGGATGAGCATCCTCCTTATTCACCTGATTTGGCTCCGACTTTTTTTTTTTATTTCCTAAAGTTACGTCTTACGCCACCCAGTCGGTATAGTGACTGCGGTGCCGAAGGGCCTGGGTTTGAATCCCGGAGAAAGCATGGTTGTAACTGTCCGTCCCTTCATAGGAAAGGCGAAGGTGCTCCACCTATTAGGTACCTCCATAATAAAGAGACCACCACATCCGGCCTTGTATAGATTAATGGACTGGGTTACATTATCTGTTCTTGTGTAGATTAACATATAATTGTACTCATAGTTTTTCTCCTGGCACATTTATGGCCAAGTATGGAAACATAATGTTTGTTCTATATTGTGTATATCTGGTATGATCTTCTTTAACTCATTGTTACAATTATATGACAACTGTTAATTGTACTGGAATCAACAAACATCTTGATTGAACTTTTGGATTTTATTACTATGATTTAGTACAAATTCCAGTGCATCTGAGTTATATGACTTGAATGTTGCATGAACTGCACAATACTTTGCTTTGGACAAAACATTTAGTACTGGATTATGAAACATAAAATATGTTCATTTACACTTAATTTGGACTCTAGAGATCATACTTGATTCTTTCTTGACTATATACTTCATTTCAATAGCGTGCAGATTCTGAACGGGGTGTTGATCCTTACTGTTCATTTACTTGTGTTTTTCTATTACATATGACTGACATTTATCTGTGATCTTCTACTTTAAACGTTTTGCATTTATTGTTACCATGTTTGTTACTGTAGGCGGCTGTCAATTCCTGTCTTAACTATTCTAGAAAATCTTAATATAGTAACTTCAGATGTATTTCTTCAACGCAAGCAATATATACAAATAACTTTGTATATTGTACAAATGTAAACTTTGAAATTTGACTTTGACATTTTAGTGCCCGACTGATCTGTTTTGGCCCGTAGATAGTAGATGGTTTTACCTCTGAGTAACATATTCCGTTTGTTGCCTTTAGGCTAACTTAGGTCGGAAGTTGCTCAGTAGGTCAGTGTTGTAATTGTTCACAATCTGCCATTGGAAAAAAAAAGTTACATCTTACTTAAAGGGAACCCATTTTACTTCAGCTGAAGAAGTTCAGGCAAAAACGGAGAATCTGCTGAAAGGCCTTCCAAAACCCTCGTTCCAGAACTGTTACCAGCAATGGTAGCACCGAATGCAGAAGTGTGGGAATGCTGTCACGGAGAATTGTTTCTGTAAGTACAATGATTTATTGGACCAGTCTCTTTTTTTGTGTGTGTGTCACACTTTGTAGTCTGCCGTAGAAAGCCCTTTTTAATATAAAAAAATAAGATCGAAATTTACAGGTGCGCGTTATGCATCGGATATAAAAATTGTTTAAAAATAAGGTATACAAATTAGATTTCTGCAGCTATCTAAATGCTGAACTAATTGTGTTAATACGCCTGCAATAACTGCCATGTATGTGTTACATACAGTCTTTCATCTTTATCATTCATCGTATTATCTGTTACATGGGATCTCAACATGTCCCATACCAAAAAAAAAACTTTCTGGATTCTTTAAGGTAGAGCTTCTTAAACTTTTTTCAGTCGCGATCCCTTTTTTATTAGTCCAAAGGGGCTTTGTTCCTGAATGACTACTGTTTTCGTTTTGCGATTTTGCGTCGATTCACTACAAACGGCGAATCACTTCTCAAACTGTTGCCACAAAGTATTATCGCCCTTTATTATATTTAAAAAAAAATAAATAAGGAAAAATCTGCATTGATGTATGTCTATTTCTCGCATTGTAATAAAACAACGGTACATAGAGCCATCGAATTTTGAATGACGTAATCCTCCTCCGAATATGGGCATGTGGAAGACCAAATTAGAAATTTGGAATTTCTTTTATTATCGATTTCCTATTTTGTAAAACTTTAATGAATTTGTGATTAACAAACTGAAGGATTTCAAAGCCAGCAATGACAACGTTGTACAGAAAAAACATTTTTATCTCCAGAGCGTGAGTCTCTGTATCGGAAATTCTAAAGATATGCTCATTTTAAAACTATTTTGCGATATTGCTGTTGAACTGGATTTTATCGTTTAAGCGCGAAGAAAGTGATATTGTTTGGATTGATGCGCTGGAGATAAAAATGTTTTTTCTGTACAACGTTGCCATGGCTCGCTTTGAAATCCTTGAGTTTGTTAATCAGAAATTCGTTAAAATGTTTTACAAAATATGAAATCGATAATAAAACAAATTCCAAATTTCAAATTTGGGCTTTCAGATGCGCATATTCGCAGTAATATTACGTCATTCAAAATTCGATGGCTCTAGGTACCATTTTTTTTATCACAGTGCGAGAAACATACTTACATTTATGCAGATTTTCATTTTTTAAATTCTTTAAATATAACACAGAGCGATAATACTTTGTGGCAACAGTTTGAAAATTGATTCGCCGTTTGTAGTGAATCGACGCAAAATCGCAAAACGGAAAAAACAGTCCTTCAGGGACAGAGTCCCTTTGGACTAATAATACAATGTACCTGAATAATACCTGAAGTACGCATTTTTAATTGATAATCTCTATTAAACTTGCAGCTTATTTATTGAATTCGCAAAAGTATTATTTCGAAAAGGCAAAGATGAATAATTTTGACTTCACTCTTTTCAGATGTATCGAGAGTGCAGTGTTTGGGTCTGTGTTTACAGCGACAAACGGCTAGCAAGTCCAAGATATGCCGATCTTTCAATTTTGCGAATAGAACTTGTTACATGCTGAATACCTTTGTCTGTGATGGGGAGAGAGAACTCAAGGATGCACCCGGTTTCAGTTACTTTGACCTGGTTGATGACTTTGCAAAGGAGGTAAAAGGAGACTTCTTCAATATTCAGTTACGTTTAACTTTCAGTAAATTTACTTATGCTTAATTTCACGTATTTCAATATGAGTTTTAATTCATAATCATAATTTCATCATTTAGCATTTTATAATTGTTTCGGGTTAAATTTATAATCATTAACTAAAAACTAATTTTAAAGCCATTACCATCAGTAACCTTTAGAGAACATGCACATATTTTAAATTTATCAAACAGTAAATCTTCTCTGATAGATACCCATTAAGTTTCAGGGTTTTTTTTAACTGGTTAATTACATAGATGTTTTCCTAAGGTATCTGTTTTATAACTTTATTATTTAGCAAAAATTTGCACTAAATTCGAAAATAATTTTATAAAATTCTAAATGCTCAAATAAAAACATTCAATTTGAATGCAATTCATATAAAAATATCTGAATGTAATTGTAATTCATTTTTAAAGGATAAACAATAATAATTTTTATATGCTGTATTTACCTTGATATGCAATGGAGCGATAATATAAACAAAATATCACCAACATACTAAAAATAGTTTCTTAGAATTATAGAAGTAGTTTTGCAATTTTGATATGACAACAGTACCTATGCATTAAAGCAACCACCAAACAGAAGGTGCCAAGCTTCCAAAATGCCCCAAATTCAGGCAACTATACGCATAACAGTTCTGAGTATTTCAGTTTTACCAACATGGACATACCTGTATGTGTTCCTTTTCCTCGTATTCCTAGTTGCCATGATTTTATGATTTTTGTAGACAATGCATGGCATTCTTATTTTAAACTCAGTTTTGTTATATGTGCTTGTAGAATTTGCTTGCGATTGGCAATACCAAGTAAATTTTGGCAGAATTTTGGAGCAAATTCACTAAAGTGAACAACTGTTTTCAATCTAATTTCAAAATACAAATCAAACAATCATTATAAATTTCTAACGTAAAAAAAGGAAAGAAGATGTTCATAGATAGGTTCATTGATTCAATTTTCGGATAAAGATTTAATGAAAACGTAAAACATGTATGTTATAATTTTTTTTTGTATTGTAAGTCATCCTCTTAGCCCAAAGGCACGTTAACCCAGAAAGGTAATTAGTCTCGAAACGACATTTTCCCTCGAATCACTCAACGCGTTGAACCACTTTTCCGATTATTGGCACCAAATATTATCGCCCTGTGTTATACTTAAATTAAATAATGAAGAATTTTCATGAATGTATGCATGTTTCTCGCATTGTGAAAGAACAATACTATCTAGAAGCCTCCAGTTTTGAATAACGCAGTCCTTCAACCGAATATGGGCACTTAGAAACCCGAATTTGTTTTATTATCTATTTCATATTTTGTAAAATTTTAACAAATTTTGATTAAAAAATTCAGTTACTCAAAGCAAGCAGTGGCAACACTAACATCTTCATCTCGCACGAGACCGTCTGTCGGGAATTCTAAAGATATGCTGTTTTTAAATATTTTTAGCCCAAATGTTCTCGAACCTTATATGTGTGTAAATGAAAAAAATTCCGTTTGAAGTAATCTAAAATCTTTCAGATTATTTTATTTTATTTATTTATTTATTTTTCCTGTCGAAAATCATCACTAAATTGTGTCAGTGTGGTTACTCTAATACGTAAGTACCATGAGAACTAATAAAGAACACAAATAAACATTTGTAATTGATAGCAATAACTATAGCAGCAATTTGATATAATCGGTGAGGAATATTTAACAAAAAAGAATATTCCCAAGATAGATGATCTCAAGATATTGGATAGATAAATTCCCAAGATAGATCCCAAGATCCAAGTATACCTTGGGAAGAAAGATCCCAAGGTATCTTGATTCCCAAGATATACTTCTTTGAAAATAATGAAAAAAGTAATATTAAAAAAATTCTTTCTCTTTATTCTACTGTCTTCAACAACCTTAATATCGATTCGTATGCCTCAGTTTTTTGACAACTGTATTGTTGCGTGCGTACGGGTTCGTTATAAAATGAATGCACAAGTCCGGTGAAAAATGAACAAAAATTTATTATTATCACAAAAAAAATGCTTAAATTTTCTCAAATTATCGTGCAGTATTACAATATCTCACAGTAGTTATCTTTTAACTACTCAAATGTTCAACAGAACGTAATTCAAAACAGTTAACGAAAGCTAATCCTCGAATTCGCTACAATCAACAAGAGCAGTTTTCTAAAAAACAACAAACTAAAACTACTAAACTGAAATCGAAATCGAGTGAATGGTTAGGCGGCATTTAGTAGCCTCTGCTACTTTAACCGTCTCTGTTGGAGATATGCCCTAAGGCGTTGGGAAGAATTAAGGTGATTTACACCGCACCGACAAAGGTGAAGCAGGAACATGTGCTAATGCACGTGAGTTGGTCAAGTAGACTTTGGAGAAGGAGGGTTCAAGCATCTGGCCGCCGTACAAGCTGTGATGTATCTTCACTAGTTGAAGAAAGATGATACGTCGAGGCCAGTCACGTGGGTGGTCACCCACCCAAGTACTGACCCCGAGCTCTGCTGCTGTAAACAGGGGAACCTGTGTGTTGAAAAAGTGAAAAGAAATCGTAAACATAGTGAAATTCCCTCAAATGCTTCTAAGCTGGTGATTACTCTTCACTTTCAGCAAATCTCATCAGTGTCATGGCTGCTTTGAACCCGGCAGCAGTAAACTTCTCAGCCGTGGTTTTTGCAGCGCGCGGATCTTCTCAACGTGCTCAACCATACTGTTCAGAAATTTTTTGATTTTAGGATCTTGGATCCAGTTTATGATATCCTTGTACTCTGTGGGTGGGTTTTCCAATTTTTTCTTTACTCTATCACTGTAGAGAGGTTTCATCTGGGTTTTACTGCTGTCTTCCTCTGTTTCGATGAATTTCGGAAAATCTGCCGGCGTAGGGATCTTAGCTGCTGGCTTCGCCTGCTGCTTCTTTGCTTCATATCGCTTCTTGTACACGGGGCAACCCCTGTATGAACTTACATGCGGTAGTGAGCAGAAGATGCACTTAGGTTTTTCTTCTGGCTTTAGAGGGCATTCTTTACTTCTATGGTGCTGTCCACACTTGCAGCATCGCTCAGGATTTGAGCAAAGATGTTGCGAATGTCCATATTCTTGACATCTATAGCATTGAATTACGCGTTTTTTCGGGGCAAACTTCTCGATCTTGACATTAACACTTAACATATTGTTGAGTCCATGAATTGCACGTCCTTCCTTCGTTTTCTTCAGCTCCAACAGGAAAATCGGAAGTTTCTCGATAGCGTCTCCTCTTCGTCTGGAAAACTTCTTGACTTTACTTATCGGGAATTTCCTTTATCTGCCTGGATTATTTCTTCCTTCATCGTCGATGGGAGGCCCTTAAGAACAACCTTAATAGGTTTTTCGCTGAGTAACTGGAAAGTATGAAATGGTATATTTCTTTTCTGCAAAACCAGAGTTGCTTTTCTGTAATCGTCTACTGACTTTAAATTAACATATAATAGTTTCATTTTCATATCGGCTTCGAATTCTTTACTGCAGGTATTGATAAGGATTTCATGAATTTTAGGCCAATCCACTTCGCTTTGCTGGAAAACTATTGGGGATGGAGTTTCCTCTTTTTCGGCTCCTTCTTCTTCTTCCATACCTTCTACTTCGCTTAGCTGCTCAAATCGATTTTCCGTCGTAACTTCCATTGGAGCTTCGTTTTCTGATATTTTCGCGGTTTTCTTAGGAGAAATCCATTCTTGTTCCTTGCTGTCTGTTCCTCTTTCAGTTATCTGCCCTGGATAAAATTTTTTCGTGAATGTCTCTACATCCATCTCACCCTTAGTTCTTTTATGAAAGTAATTGCAAATTACGTCAAATCCAAATTTCGCAATCTGGTCCCGGATTTCTTCTTCAGAACATGACTTGAATTTTGGGATGTCCTCATCATTTCCCATTGATAAATCTTCTGGTGTCTGTTCATCAGTAGCTTCTCCATTCGGTGTTTGAATGTCTCTTTTTTTTCCTTACCAGGTTTAACATCTTTCTTCTTACTTGGTTGTTCGCTTTCCGTATCTGACATAGTTTTCGCCTTTTTTTTCGCTTTACTTTTGGCCTTGAAATCCTCTTTCTTCAATGGATAGGTCTTGTTGGTTTTGGACGAACGCTCGCTTCGGTAATCCTCTTCATCAGAACTATCGAGTGGAGTCCTATAAGAGGACATTTTTGTTTTTCGGTTTCGCAAATCAATGACTTATTTATAGACACAAAATTTTTAACTACACATCGCAAAGGAAAAAGAATTCGTAACTGAACTCATCGAACTGAGAGGTTTTCCTCCTTTTATAAGATTTTAAATCGCGCGCGAGAAATTTCTGGAATTTTCTCGAAATCAAAAAGAGATATTTATTTATTAAATGTTAAATGCACGTGCTCTTGTATTTTTAATTTTCCGGCTTAGCTTTCCTTTAATATTCGTCACGCGCTGCACTGCACGGGGAATAAAACAATTTAATTTATAATTCAACTAACATTAGCTATTTAAATGCCAAATCCGTAACAATATTAATTTGAAGGAATTAAAATTCCATAAATAAAGTATTTATAATATTCCTTAAAAAGGCAAAAACGTATGTATTTTTACGCGTTTATTTAAAGCGGTTTGTGAGACCGCTCACAGTAATTACGCCGAAAAAATTGTCACCGCAGTTAAAGGTTAATCAAAAATGCGTTAAAAGTTTACAAAATATGAAATCGATAATAAAACAACCTTCAATTTTGGGCTTCCAGTTTCCCATGTTTGCAGGAGGATTACGTTATTCAAATTTGGTGGCTCTAGGTACCGTTGTTTTATCATATTGGGAGAAACATACATACATTTATACAGATTCTTCATTATTTAATTTCTTTTTAGTGGCAACAATTTGAAAAGTGAAACAAAGCTTATCGTAAATCGACGCAAAGCGCCGAAACGAAATTTATAGTTCTTCTGGGCAAATTTCCCACTTTTACTAAACCATTGTGGTGTACTGCTAATGCTTCAACGGTGTGGTGTCGAACTCCAATGAAAGCTCTAATGATGT